TGTGTGTGTGTGTGTGTAAGCATTATAGCGGCGGACGTAATATCACAATTACCTTGTAACATTCCCACTGCATACTAACCTTGACCTATTGTATACAGAGACGATTGCAGTACAATCAGGATGAACCGAAGAGCGGCGGTGGCCCGCCCTCGTCGGCTCGGCGGGTTTTGCGCCGTTCTCGATGCTTGTGTTGATGACCTGCGGCCGGTTTGTTAGAATTGTGCCAGGCCCGATCCGAAGAATATTCGTATACTTGACATGCATAAATAAAGATATAAATACATATTCATCAGTCTAGACATGCATACCCTTCCCTTCTAGTTTCTTGAATATTTCCTCGAGGCAGGCTGTAAACAGCTTTGGTGAGATGGTGTCGCTCTGTCTAACGCCTTTTTTATTTGGAATTTTATCGGTTGCCGTGTGGAGCTTGATGGTTGCTGATGTATAGCTGATTATATAGAGAAATATGCCTTTATTTCTGCATCTGTATTTATGAAAATTCATCGGGTCACAATCGGTCCAGTTTTTACATCCTTTGTACGGGCCATCTCTTCATTACTATTCGGTGTAGGATTGCACATAACCTTAGGGACCGATAACCATTTATACGACACCCATGAGATCTGCATTGACTAAAGAGCATCCCAGTTCAGTGTTGTTACTAGAAACTAAGTTCTTAAAGGTAATAAGGCAGGTCCCATGCCCATAACTGTCATGTACACGTGGTTAGATATAGGATAGCACTGAAGAAGAGCTCGCCATGAATATGATGGTGTGCCCATTACTTTCCTGTGGATGTTATCGACGTGGTTCTCGAATGTCATGAATCTGTCAATGTGTACGCCTAGATTTTTTTACAAAAGTTCTCGGTCTTATATAGCTGTCTTCAAATATTATGGTCGTGTTTACAAGAATTTTGGCGATGGAGAGCAAAAGGTCCCCCAGTACTTAAATCTAGAAGCCAATGCAATGAGGCCTTAATACGTTGCTTTTCGTGGTATAAATCAATCATATCTGGTGGTGATAGAAAGCGTGAATGGAGATATAGAGACAGATAGGAAGATAGGTAAATTAAATAGTTGCTAAGGTCCTCATAGTCGCTTCATACGACACAGTGACCAGTTGGAAATATTCCCCACGTCTCCTTATCGCGCGCGCGCACACACACACACACACACACACACACACACACACACACACACACACACACACACACACACACACACACACACACACACACACACACACACACACACACACGTACACACACACGCACACGCACGCTATCAGCATAAAATCATTATTATTACTTTGTTAATCATTGTTACCATCAAACTCATTAAGTCACTATTACTACCGCGCGCGGACTCGGCCAGGTAAAGGAAGGAAGGAGGGACAAATAAGGAAGGAAGGAAGGAAGAGCGAGAAGCAAACGAAGGAAAGGAAGGAGGGAAGGAGGGACAAATAGGAAGGAAGGAAGGAAGGAATGCTGCTGCACCCTCAGCGTCAGTCAGATCTGCCGCTTCCTTTGCCTGGCGCAGCTCCTGGTCGAGCCTCGTGGCTTCCAGGGCTGCGGTGCGGTTCATCTTAAGCAGCATAAGAGTGTCGGACTTCCGCAAGGAGAGAGGGAAATAGGGGAAAGGGAAGAGAGGTAAGAGATAATGCGATGACATGTAGACAAGCACGCCGTAAATACCCAAGGCTTTACCCGGCTAGGCGCTCCAGCCTCTTCTTCGGACCTTGTTACCTCGGGCTCTCGCGGGAAGACAAAGGTCTTGAGGGCGTGGAAACTCCTGCCGCTGACAAGCCCGCATCTGCTCGCAAGGAATAGGAAGCCACTTATATTTGTGTGTAGGGTTGGGTGTCCTGGCGTATAAACGAATGGCGCCAAATACGAAAAAGGGAAAAGGTCCGAAACGTTCCGTGTTTTAGATCTAATGGTATTAAATTTCAAGAGCAACAGAAGCTCATGAGATATATGTAGGCTATGAATGCGCGTGTATGTATGTGTCTGTGTGTGTATGCGAGTTTGTGTGTTCGTGTGTGTGTAGGCGTCTGCGCATTTGAATGGAGGATCTATAATTCTGGTCGAAAATCGAATTGTTCGGAAAACCGAAACCATATTACCACGGCCAGTGCAAGGATAGTGAGGCCATTTACTCTACCTCAACCGCCGTGCCAAGACGCTGATTATCAACTGATTACGTAAAGGCATATGTGCGGAGGTATACGTGTTGTGTGGCTGGGGGCACGGCGACACGGAAGAGCTCGTGAAGACGGATTATACCGCAACGCGGCATTTTTCCTTCACGTTCTCCGGAAGCCAGTGGGCTGACCGTGCTATCCAGTTGATAGGCGGCTAGTTCCATGCAGGGCTGCGCTCCCGCCCCCAGCCGGTGTTGTGGAGACGCCGCTTGCACTTGGTTATTTTTCTCTCTTATCCGGATTTCGAATAAAATTCAGGAAACCTCTGGCAACGTTTCCTCTCAAACGAGCCGGGTTTTCACCGCGTTGTTGCACCGTGGAAGGCCCATTAGCACAGTCCTCGGACTTGCGGCGCCACTGACGGAACAGCTGGTAGGTGACGTCGGACTGTAGCTGAGGAGGGCTGGGTATCTCCGTTGACCTAGTTTACTGAAATGTCACGTGTCCGAATTTGTGTCTAATGATATATAAGATAAAAATGGAAATAAGAGAGACATGGGTTAAAATTGTCACAGAAGTGCCATTCAAGTCAAGATCCAGGACATTGAGGGCACGATAGAAACTGGTCGGTTGGTATGTGTTATCAGACCAGATTGGCTTTGCACAGGGATTATGGACTCTCTCGACATGAGTTTTTGAGATACCAGTAACTGTTTAGGAGGACCAAATTACGTGTTTTCAGGGCCCTGATATTGCCAGTTTCAATATACGGCATGACCAGAGCAGTGATGGGAGCATGTAGAAGATCCTGACGTGGTGGCAACAGGTGGAACAGGCGAAAGCCGGTGAGCAGCTGGTGCTTGCTGTTCTGGGCTGGTTTGCTGTAATAATGACAGAGGATAGATAGCGAGATGAATTATTTAAGAGAATAAAAATGGATAGATAAGCAGAAAGATGAATCAATCGTCTTTCCTCGTCAGAAATGCGGGTGACGGAGGCAGTGGCGCAAATACTGCAGCTCCTGGTTGCTTTGACTGCGTGCGATCTGACAAACAGCGCCGAGCTAATTTTTTCCCAACAAAAAAGAATTGCCTTCATGAAATGCATAAGCAATTAATCCGCGCCATGGAGTCGCCACGGAGGGCAGTTGGCGGGTGACCTTGACAGTGAAGAGGAAGGACTTACATCGTGATATTTTATGTTTATTGTGCCACGCTGATATTTTATGATGTACCTGTTGCCAGTGATTTCCCGTGTTGTCTGTGATCGTCGAGGCTGTGGTGGTGGCTAGCTTAGCGCGACAGCCGCCGCCTCCCCCGTTACTTCTCTCGTGCTCGTGCTCTTCCTCTTCTCTACTCTCTCCTTCTCATCTCTACTTCCCTTTTCTCCTTCTCTTCTCTACCACTTCCTCCCATTTGTTTTTCATAAGAAGCGGCCGAGGCAAGGACGCCTACGATTCCTCGCCGTCATCCGAGCAACAAAAACTCGGAAAGGACCCCTCATTAACTCCCCCCCCCCCCCGATGCATATGTACCACTTCCTCCCATTTGTTTTTCATAAGAAGCGGCCGAGGCAAGGACGCCTACGATTCCTCTTTTCCCCACGCCCACAGAGGGCAGTTGGCGGGTGACCTTGACAGGGAAGAGGTGTGAGTGTGGGCTGGGAAGGACTTTCGCGGTTCGAGGATTACTCGTCACTCCTGTAGCAGGCTCAGTGGCGGTGTTGAAGCCACGTCCCGTTTCACCAAAGTAGGCCTTATCGCAACTGCTGCAGGGTATGCGATATACTGCACTGTTGGGGTTGCTTTCAACTGTATTTGCTTATCGCCTGGGGAACGTTACAATACGGTCAATACGGTCACACTTTAACCACGTTACACAGCAATTCGTTCTCGGGCGTGAATATCGGTTCGTGTAAGTGCAAATGAAAAGTACACGAATTACACTAATCTTATCAGGTGGTATCAGTAAATGTTTTTCCCGTTCGTGGTAAGTGCATGGAGGCGGCTCTTGCGCTCTCCGGGTTGGCGGGAAAAATGGAGCTGCAGCAGGGTGGTGTTGGGACCCGCGAGCCTCCTTTCTCCTCCTTCCCTTCCTCTCCTCTCCTTTTATTCCTTCCCTCCTTCATCCCTCCGCCCCTCCCATCTCCCTCTTTCCCCTCTATATGCACAAGCGCCGACACTGCGACCCTCTCGTTCCCTGGTGGTTTGTTTGTCTGTCTGTCTGTTGTTTCGGTCTGTTTGTCTGTTTCTGTCCCTGTTTCTCCTTCTTTCTCTCATTTCTTTTCTCTTTCTAGATGTTTCTCTGTCCTTTTTGTTAATTCACTTATCACTGCACTATTCGACACATCGACACTGTAAGCGACGAAAATTCAAATTCGTTAACTACACGCTTACATTAAAGTACAAAAAAGTGAAGATACGAGTGACGTAGGAAACACGCTATCGACAAGACCTCCAGCCGTTGGCTTCGCGTCGGCTTGCCCCCTTCTCTGCATCCCGCCCGCGTTACCCTTCGTATCAAATTCCATTCCTCGGCTAACGTAAGGTCATCAGTAATTTTGGTTTTAAGTGAATGAGAATAATATTTACAATACAATTTTCTTTTCTCATTCATACCTTTTCTACATTAGTTACAACAAATACAATTCAAGAATATATATATCTATATCTATGTCTATACCTAATTATCAGTAGATGTACCTAATATGATATTATTCAAATGTACATAACATCTTTACTAATGTTTACGTGGAACCCAGACTAAGTATTTTTATTCATGAAAAAATATTTTTTAATAACATTTGTTATCATTCTTTACAGCATTTTTTATGCTTAAGAAAAAAGACAGTCGGCAATGGTCGCCTTCCAGGAACGTAAGATTTAAAACCTGGTCAAGAAGGTCAATACCCACCCTCTCAGCGCATACCACCCGACCTCCTCGCCCCGTGCCCGTACGAACCCAGCCGTGGTATGTTCCCAGGCTGCACGGGTACCGGTCCCAGGCAAGTGCAACCGAAGTAAAATTCAAAGGCTTGAAAAGCTAACGAAAAGTAAAATCAACTTGGCCTTGGTGGCTTTGCTTTCTCTGGTTGTGTCCATACTTACTTTGGTTTACATTTCAGGATGGTTGAAGGGGAAGAGGAAGGCAGCCGCCGCCCGTCGGGAGCAAGAGCTGCAGGCGCAGCTGGCAGCTGCAACGCGTCGCGGAAACGATCTGCAGGCGCAGTTAGATGGCCTTACTGCGCAGCTGGAAGCTGCAACGCGTCGCGGCAAGGATCTGGAAGCGCAGTCAGATGGCCTTACTGCGCAGCTGGAAGCTGCAACGCGTCGCGGCAAGGATCTGGAAGCGCAGTCAGATGGCCTTACTGCGCAGCTGGAAGCTGCAACGCGTCGCGGCAAGGATCTGGAAGCGCAGTCAGATGGCCTTACTGCGCAGCTGGGCTGCAACGCGTCGCGGCAAGGATCTGGAAGCGCAGTCAGATGGCCTTACTGCGCAGCTGGAAGCTGCAACGCGTCGCGGCAAGGATCTGGAAGCGCAGTCAGATGGCCTTACTGCGCAGCTGGAAGCTGCAACGCGTCGCGGCAAGGATCTGGAAGCGCAGTCAGATGGCCTTACTGCGCAGCTGGAAGCTGCAACGCGTCGCGGCAAGGATCTGGAAGCGCAGTCAGATGGCCTTACTGCGCAGCTGGAAGCTGCAACGCGTCGCGGCAAGGATCTGGAAGCGCAGTCAGATGGCCTTACTGCGCAGCTGGAAGCTGCAACGCGTCGCGGCAAGGATCTGGAAGCGCAGTCAGATGGCCTTACTGCGCAGCTGGAAGCTGCAACGCGTCGCGCAAGGATCTGGAAGCGCAGTCAGAGCCTTACTGCGCTGGAAGCTGCAACGCGTCGCGGCAAGGATCTGGAAGCGCAGTCGCCTTACTGCGCAGCTGGAAGCTGCAACGCGTCGCGGCAAGGATCTGGAAGCGCAGTCAGATGGCCTTACTGCGCAGCTGGAAGCTGCAACGCGTATCTGGAAGCGCAGTCAGATGGCCTTACTGCGCAGCTGGAAGCTGCAACGCGTCGCGCAAGGATCTGGAAGCGCAGTCAGATGGCCTTACTGCGCAGCTGGAAGCTGCAACGCGTCGCGGCAAGGATCTGGAAGCGCAGTCAGGCCTTACTGCGCAGCTGGAAGCTGCAACGCGTCGCGGCAAGGATCTGAAGCGCAGTCAGATGGCCTTACTGCGCAGCTGGAAGCTGCAACGCGTCGCGGCAAGGATCTGGAAGCGCAGTCAGATGGCCTTACTGCGCAGCTGGAAGCTGCAACGCGTCGCGTCGACGAGCTGGAGGCCGAGTCGTCGTCCTCCACTACACCCACTGACATCTCTGACGAGGAAAAATAGAGAAATAGGCAGAGGGTGAAACAGCAAAAGAGGAGACAGAGACAGAGGGAGAGACGACATTCTGACATCATCATTGCAGATGAGAATGCCATCTCCTCCTGTTCTCCTACTCCCCCACTTCCCACTGACGGCATGAGACGGCATTCTGTAGATGAGAATGCCATCTCCTGTTCTCCTACTCCCCCACTTCCCACTGACGGCATGAGACGGCATTCTGTAGATGAGAATGCCATCTCCTCCTGTTCCACTCCCCTTCCCTCTGACGATAAAACGAAACGACGCAGAAGGAGACAGAGACAGAAGGAGAGACAGAGGCATTCTGTAGATGAGAATGCCAGACTGACGGCATGAGAGCATTCTGTGATGCCTCTGACATCTCCAGTTCTCCTACTCCCCCACTTCCCACTGACGGCATGAGACGGCATTCTGTAGATGAGAATGCCATCTCCTGTTCTCCTACTCCCCCACTTCCCACTGACGGCATGAGAGGGCATTCTGCCATCTCCTCCTGTTCCACTCCCCTTCCCTCTGACGATAAAACGAAACGACGCAGAAGGAGACAGAGACAGAAGGAGAGACAGAGGCATTCTGTAGATGAGAATGACATCTCCTGTTCTCCTACTCCCCCACTTCCCACTGACGGCATGAGACGGCATTCTGTAGATGAGAATGCCATCTCCTCCTGTTCCACTCCCCTTCCCTCTGACGATAAAACGAAACGACGCAGAAGGAGACAGAGACAGAAGGAGAGACAGAGCATTCTGTAGATGAGAATGCCATCTCCTGTTCTCCTACTCCCCCACTTCCCACTGACGGCATGAGACGGCATTCTGTAGATGAGAATGCCATCTCCTCCTGTTCCACTCCCCTTCCCTCTGACGATAAAACGAAACGACGCAGAAGGAGACAGAGACAGAAGGAGAGACAGAGGCATTCTGTAGATGAGAATGCCATCTCCTGTTCTCCTACTCCCCCACTTCCCACTGACGGCATGAGACGGCATTCCTTCACCATTCCCCCTCCCTTCCCCGGCCTTCCCTTCCTCCTCTCTGGCATCATTAACTCTGCCCAGGAAAAAAATAGAAATACAGCAAAATGGGAGACAGAGACAGAGGGAGGAGAGACGACATTCTCCTGTTCCCTCTGACGATAAAACGAGACATCTCTGACATCTGTTCTCCTTCTGGCATCACTGTCCAAGAAAAATAACAGACGTCAGAAAAGGAGGAGAGACAAAGGGAAAATAAGCTAAAACCTAGGACAAATAACCTAGGCAATGATAGCAAATAATAACCTACTAAAGATGTAAACAGTGATGTCCAAATCTATAGACAAATGATGTGTCTAAGCTACATAGACAACCTATAGAGAGAAGAGATGACAACGGAAGGAGGGAAGAGATAGAGAAGAACAAAACGAGGTGAGAAAAAAAATAATGGAGAACCTTATAATGAGAGAGAGAGAAAGACGGTTTGTGTGAGGGAGAGAGAATGAATGAGATAGAGGGAGAAACCTGAAATATTTCTCTCTGGAAATTGATGATGATAAAAAGGCACACACACATAATCTTTATCATATATTATGAGACTAAAAAAAAAGCAAAATCTGTGTGTGTGTGTGTGTGTGCCTCTATTTCTTTCTTAATTATGGAGAGAGAATGATGATAAAACATAGGAACAGCCGTCGAGAATGACAGGTAAAACAAGCGAGGAAGGAGAAACGAAAAAAATATATATATATATAAAAAAATATATATAAATTGTCTTAATATATATATATATATATATATATATATATATAATATATATCTATCGTCTCTCTCTCTCTCTTCTCTCTCTCTCTCTCTCTCTCTCTCTCTCTCTCTCTCTCTCTCTCTCTCTCTCTCTCTCTCTCTCTCTCTCTCTCTCTCTCTCTCTCTCTCTCTCGGTGTCATCGTTGAGTCGCATCTTCTTTCAACACCCA